CGGTTGATTACTTTACCTGCGCTAACAATAGCTTCACATCAGAATCCAGTCCTTCGCTCTTGACCACAGTGGACAGCACAATCTCGTGATATACCGCGGCGCCGCACATCTGTCAGGCCATTCATGCGGTCGTGGGATCGATCCATCCAGATCTTAATTGAAGAAATTTGTAGAAAGAAATAGGAGACACACAAAAACCAAGAAGCATATTGCCCATCGTATGTCCAATGTACAGTCACTACAGTGCTGTACTGCCTGTACATTATACATTGTGTTGACATTTGGTATTTTCGCCTGTGCGCGAAGCTGGCCAATCAGCGCCATTGCTTGAATCTGATGGAACGCTGTGGGTGGGAGGTTCCATAGCATCGCGAGCAAATAACGAGCACAGTGCCATTATGCCGCCCAGCTAATATATCACTGACCAACACTTATTTGACCGGCTATCTGTTTCTTTGTCAATAAAGCTTTTACAACCTCGATCCTGTATCAGCGGAAAATAAGCGCAGGTCAAAGCCCGTTTTTGTTCTTGTACGAGCAGTCGTGTTTCTGGTTGAACTTGTCATTTCAATAGCCGAATCAATCCGTTTAACGAAATTTGTGTAAGTGCTCTCTGATGCAAAGCCTACATTTGATATTTCGGTATTTTTATACTTCTTACGACCAAGATTAATCAATACATAGCACGCTGAGAATTCCATCATGGCCGAACCTGTGCCACAAGCAGTAGCCCCGGCCGAATGGCAGCTCGCAGTACAGGGGAGTGTGGATCTCCGCCAGGGGATCTTGACCAGTGGCGAAAGGAGTGATGTAAAGTTTGCAGTGGGCAGCGAGCTTGGTGAAGTGATAATGTTTTCAGCGCATCAGTACGTATTAGTCCATGCGGTTGATACCAGACTTCCAAGATCCCCATATTTGGTCATCGTAGGTTCATTCTCGGCCTGCGCGGCAGCGATGTGTTGCGCACGTTGTGCAAGTATGTACGCGGCGACGAACCCGTTGAGGTTCCAGAGATTCTGCCCGCAGCTTTTGGCAACATGCTCAAGTAAGTTTAGTCTTGGCATGCCCCTCATCGAAAGAAGTGCCCGATTATTGCGCAAGAGAAACTAAAAAACTAATCTAGGTTGACCGCTTTGCTCGGCGACAGTATTGTGGTTTAAAATGCAGCAGACATATGCGGCCACGGCGGCATTCAGCCGTGCCACAGCGGACTGCTTGTAACTTTTACTGGCATTTGCAAAATAAACAGAAAAAATGTTAATGAATTACTTTGCAGACACATTTACACTGGTTCTGTTAGTAATGGTCTGAAGACGGATAATGTCTTTGAGACCATTCACTGCGCCGACAAGTATAATCTGCCGGCGCTGACCGAATTGTGCTTGAGGTTCATCAGGGCGGATCTGAGCGGCGTCAACTGTGTGCTGTACCTCGATACTGTAAGTGTTGGCATGGGATTGCTCTTCAAAACACTACTGAGGTTATGGTTGTTCTTGAAAAAAGATGGTACTCACATAACACCAAACGTTCGATTTGCTGTAACATCATAGATGTGGTGTAGTGCTTGTCACGAGATACTGTGTCTGTTGTGGCACTTTGTGTCCTGTGTCGGGCATGGTAACTGCGGTGGCTAGCATTATGTCAGTGCTGTCATGCCACTGATATTTAGTTGGTTTTGTGCGCCCTAAGTGGCGGATTAATAGTAAACATAATTATACCGCCACCTCAAGTCGTGACAATAGGTTTACAGTAATGATTAATGGCGAACGTTATTGTCACTACAGTTCTCAACAGAACACTATTGTCACTACTGTCAACTAGAAAAATTGGCTAAAGGCACTTTAAAAGAGTTATTTGACTCTTTTGTAAAAAACTAGCAATGCTAACGACACTACAAGTAACCAATTAACTGCTGTACTCATCCACTACTACTGAAAAGCATAGTGGTATGGTTGTGTGGTTGTCTATGGTTCATAGCAGGTAACGAAAGCACGCTATGTTATATACGAGGCAAGCGACAACTCTTTCCCATCGCTTTAGTAGATTTTATCACTTTCCCTGCTGCATCTTACCCGTGTGCAGGCGCTCACGTGATGCTTGATTTCAGCCGTTTCAGTCGGTTTGCAGCTATAGTTGATTGTGCAAACTGATAAAGAACATATTAAAGTACATAGCATGGCAGGCGAGATTTTATCGCCGGCTCAGTAAGCGCTGATTACAATGGATACGATATCAGTATCACGAGAGCGCCTGCACACGGGTAAGATGCAGCAGGGAAAGTGATAAAATTTACTGAAGCGATGGGAAAGAGTTGTCGCTTGCCTCGTACTTTTTTTATGTCATATACTTTAATGAAGCTTCGTATTGGACAGTGTAATACAAGAATATCAATTAACAAAAACCATAACATCATTTCCGTTCCGCTAAATGAAAGGCGAAGTACACATCTTCCGTCTCTACCGTGTCGCTGAATGTACCGAGAACAGACACTGCATTTCCTCGCTGAATCTCAATACCAATTCTTTGGCGTAAAAACTCTCCTGAGCGGGGGTTGCCTGTACTGTCGATAATCTTTCTCGACAGCTCTTTGAAGAATACCTTCGTCAGTGGTCCGAACGTGCTTGTAGTTTCAAACGCCAGCGGTTGAACGATATAACGGTCTGCCAGCCCGCTATACGGTCTGCCAACCGGCGCCAGATGCTGGGCGATGCGTTGTTTCTTGTGCGTTTTCCACTGCTGAGCGATGCCGAACTGGCCGATGGTCCCGTAAAGGTAAGCCTTATTTGCAGGTGCAAGCTCTCCACTTGGTACTTGTTTTCGAACGCTTTAGGGAAGTAACCAGTTGCATGTTACCGAATTTTTATTCATGCTCGAGAATCTCCGCTTTCGCGCACTCTGAAACACTTTTCTGTATTGGTTTATGGCATTGCATAGCCAGGTGACTTTCATACATCAAGGTAAACACCGTTTCTGGATGGATCAGTCTCTTCATAATAAGACTTAGTACGTACATCAAGACACATTTAAACGTCCGACAGCCTTAAGACCCCAACCGGATATTGCGCGCAAAAACGGTTTTAACGCCAATAAAACAAATCACTTGGCCACATATTGCCATGCATAAATCTTTGCAAAAACTTTTTTTTGTGCGCGAAAGCAGAAGTCGTCCTGCATGCACACGAATTCGGTGCCATGTGCCGGTCACTATTCAACTGATGAATTTAAACTATTCAGCACTATTTACATCGATATTCTGTGCAGAGTCAGCTGCTGTTGGAAAAGGAAATGCTAGACATATACCGGTTCCGCCATGCCAGCAGCAAACCCCCGCTTCCCTTTTCAACGGAACATCGAACCGGTTCGATTATCCGCATCCCGCGGGGCTATGCGCAGCTCGCGCGCCTGGAACAGGTGTTTGTGGAGAGTGACACCGGCCACTACTGGTATCCGGCCGTGGTGACGGGGATCCGCGGATCGGAGGTCAGCGTGTCGCAGGACGGAGGCCGCAGTACGCTACACTGTCAGCCCCATCAGATTGCTCGTGCCGCGGAGATCTTGCGAATCGGACAGAAAATTAAAACGCCCATTTTTTCCCGTCGCTATCTTACCGTCACTTTGGTTAAACACCAGAAAAATGTCTACACAGTAAAACATCAAGGCCAACGATATCGGAGGAAATTTAAGGATCTTGGTTTAAGCAGCGGACAAATGATGGAGTGGATGGCGTCTCATGGTTCTCACTTGTAGAGTACGTTGCGAGGATGCTTGCTAATTCAATAAGGTTTCCCTGAAGGAGCGATGATTGCACTCATTTTGACAGTTTGTTTGAATAGTTTCTGTTGAAAGCATTTTATGGAAGTCAGATTATCATTTTGCAGTAACTGTAGAAGTATGCTGCATATCGTGACGAATTATGAGAGGCAGCTCTGTAACAGAATTTTCTTTTACTTTTTTAATAGACGTGGGTATAGGTGCGATCGCAACCACCATCGTTTACACTGACTTATTTTATTTTTAAAAATCCACCTGGGAAACGTTTTTCCTTTCTTCCGCTAACGACAAAAGCTGCATACTTACGAGTCATGAATTTTAAAAAATTGAAAAATTGGTTTAACTTCTTTCCTGGTCGATATATCAGTATACCACTTCTTCCTTCCCTATTCTTCCTTGAACAAAAAAAGTCTTGCAAGCCAAGTTGTATTAAAATACTTAGTTGTAGGGTGCTGGGTTTAATGTGGTGGCACTGAACTTCTGCGAGCACGACACTTTCGTTTGCAAAACTTGGAAGGAAAATAGCGACACCGCAGCAACGCGGGCCCACAAAACCGCACATGTCAACTTTACCTCAGTCGAACGGGTCTCTACCCAGTACCAAGTACTCGTAGTAGTTCGACCACCTTCCTGCTCACTGAAACGGCCACAACAACCTTGTGTCACAAGCCACAGTAAACATGGTGCTGGGTTGATTCGTTTTATGTCGCAGCACCATTGCACACGAGCTGCAAAACATGTCTGAGGAGTACGTGGCAGCATACGTACGATGAAGTCGTGCTTGCAGAGGAGGCGCAGGCCCTCGTAACGTGATGATGACTATTGTTATGTAAGCCGCTTGCGCCATGTGCAGTTCGGCCACATCGCTAAAGTGAATGAAGAAAAATGCAGCGTAACAAACCTTCAGGCATCATGCACAAATACCTGACGTCTTACTGGTGGCATGTTGGTGCGAGTTTCCGACTGGCCTACTTCAACTTCTTTTTGTCGTACACTGGAAAATTTAACCGATATACATGCAGTCTTAATAACTGCGCATTACCTAAAGCGCTGTTCAGCCACAAGCTAGCTGGCATCAGCAACACAAGGAACTTTTACAGTCGTTTAAGTCTTTCCCCTATACAAGTGGTCTTAAATATAGGGTTCATTGTAAAAAAAGAGGAAATGTAGAAAAGAAAATATTAATAATTAGTACTCGTGCAGATGCCAAAAATCACTCAGAATTTCAATCAAAGTGGAATGCCGACTTCATTGGGAACTGGGAAGCCGTTTAAATGGGCAGATACAGTATACGGCCTGCCACAACTAAGAGCACCGGTAACAAAGCAAAACGCAGAACGAATGCCTATACGAAAGCAGCAACAGCGAAACCACATTTGCGCTATAAAACCCAAGCCTTCTACTCTATCAAAATGACGGCAGGTCGGATAGCGATGCCCTTGATTTCATTACGAACGGAATCCGCCGGCACGACATTCACACTGGTTTTTCTCCCGGTTGCAGCGCATGGGACCGTTGCTGCACATATTGTAGCCGCAATCGACTGTAACGATCAGTTAAACTCGTAATTAATTCATTTCATGCAACGTTATTAGCCCAAACAAACATTCAAATCAGCGGAGATAGAATGATATCATCTTATCGCTAATCAGAAGAGTGTACTTACTGCAACCGCTAAGCGGTCGAGTGCGCCGGCCGGTCTGTTCTTCCGTAGACGCCGCACCGCTGCCACGAGGCGGCTGGCCGGTCTGCTCTTCCGTGGACGCCGCTCCCCTGTGAGCGCCCTTTTCGCGCCGGTCGCTCTTAGCCGGCGATGAGCGCGCTGGCGGGCAGACACAGCGTTCCTGGTCTGTGTCGCAGGTTTGATGCTGACCGTCGTCGCACACACCGTACTCGCAGTCCACTACAACGCAAAGGAAAGCAATGTACCGTAATGTACCGTCTGTAGAAAACAACGCTCACTGCCAGCACTTTTAATTGTCCTGCTAAAACCAATGCAGATCGAAAGTTGTCGACATATTAATACGTAATACATGTGCTTACGGCATCCGGTTTTCAGTTTCTTAGGAGCACAATGAACGCTGCAAGCATACAGAAGAACCGACGCGCATAACAGAAAAGCAATATTTGCCATGTTTTAAGTTTTTCACGGTTAATTGTCGAAAGCGCAAAACAATCGGCAGTGCCTAGGAATTAGCAACGATACTAAACGATACCGGCCAACAAACCTTTCTACGCTTTACTGCTGTGTATAATACTTATTAGTATTAAGGGAACTTTCCATGTACCGGTTACACGACGAGGTCTGTTATCTGGCGATGGCGATCAGGCTGATTTGAATCAGCCAGCCAATTGATCAGTAGACAAACACCATTGCGTTAGCTTAGGACATTATCAATATGTATTCTCTTTTCGTCGGACTGAGAACCGGCCCAAAAGCCAGTGGATGGAAATTGTCATGGCAAAGGGTATGTGCACTTTGGTCGGAGGTGTTCTTCAGCCTTCGCTCGGAAAACCGCGGTTTTTCCGCAACTGTCATGTTGAAACTAGCATGCGTACGTTCCATATGACACTTAACTGCGCTTTAAGCATTTTTATAACTGTCGGAAAAGATTCGTGCCTTTAGTCGTATACGGCACAATTTTGGCACACACACCGGGCACATCAACTAATGAGAATGCATAAACGGCAGGAATGTTAGTTTTTGTGCAAACCAGCGCGTGTGTGCCTTCGGAAGCTGCACACTGCGATGCAGTAGTTGTGCAGGAAGAGAAATTATTAATTATTTGTACAGACATTCCTTTGTGCAACATAGATCGTGGTAAAACTTTGCTGGCGTCCAGGGTAGCGACTGCATGTGGAACTTGATTTACGGTTTCGCAGTACATTGAACACTGAACTGCACATTCGCACATTGAACTGCATACGAACAAGGCATCGGTTGCCGTGATCATCACGGCACCGTGGATATAAGCGCTCGGTGACCAAAACCTGTTATCGGCGCTCCAGCGGAAATTCTGACGTCTCAAACCTAATTCGTGCATAATTACGAACAGGGAAGACCTAGGACCTCTGTATGGCTATAATAACCCCCAAAAGTGCATTTTGCGTCATGCGGATTCGTTATGGTGACAAGCGCAAAATTCCCTAAAGATAAATTTACCCATCTCTAACAGTGTCGGCTGTTGGAGAAATCTTTCTGCAGTACGATCGTTTGGTTGCAAATAACAGTAAGCAGGCTACACCATAAATGCTTGAACGAAAAGCTGTTCGAGATATTGCAAATTTTCCTTAAAAAATTCGCTGCGGAAGCACCAGGAAGCAACCCAATATAATTACTAGTACTGTACTGTACTGGAATACGAACGCTCTTAGCACTCTTCCAGTACGTAACGTGGCTGAAAAAATCAAATGCCAGATTGAATGTCTAACAGCTGATTAATTTAACCGACTGGATTAGAATGATCAAGGCCAAGCACACATAATCCTTACAGCCAATTGTAGTTAAGTGGAATTATGGAGGCTGCGATTGGTCGCAAGCGAAAGCATGTACGGTGTGTACAGTACTTACTTGCGGCCAGCATTTAAATGGGCTGTACAACCTACCAACAGGGCGATCGCCGCCTCTGGAAAGGCATTGTGACGAGTCCGTGATCAATCTGCCAGCAGCGGTCAACAATACGCTCAGGTAAGCAATGCTTGTAATCTGACAGCTGATCAGTGATCACCACCGAGCCCATGACAGCCTCAAAGCGGTCATCAAGCGCGCTTTTGCGTCGGCGGGAATCGAAACTGAACTGGAACCTGCCGGAATCCTCCGTACAGATGGCAAACGACCCGACGGCGTGACAATTTCCCGTGGGAAAGAGGAAAGGCGCTGGCCTGAGATGTAACCTGCTGCAGCACCATGGCGTTGTCGTACATTGCAGCCACATCCACCCAAGCCGGAGCAGCAGCATCGCTAGCCGAGCGGAGCAAGACCGAGAAATACCGCAACATCACCCGGGATTACTGGTTCTCGCCGCTGGCCTTCGAGACCTACGGAACATGCGGACCAGAAACCGCTAATGTGCTTGGAAACATGATCCACTAGCAATCAGGCGAACTGCGAGCACTCGAGTTTGCGTCAACGGATCAGCATAGAGATTCAGCGAGGAAACGCAGAATCTGTAATGGGACAGCACCATCGGCAGCGAATTTTGACGAATTTTTTTCTGTTATTCGTCCGTCTGTTCTTATAAATGTTGCCGTGTAGCTCGCTTGTGTTTTCAGTTTCTCACGATTTACGTAGAGTTTGTGTAAAATTTTGTTTCCCGAAACGCAAATAAAAGTCGACCCACCGAGCCCAAATTACTAGTACCACAGTGGTGGGAAAAACTGTCGGCTTTGATCGGCGACTTCTTTCAGATGTAACCATGCCGGCGGCATAAGCGGTGCGCGTGCCAGGACAGCGCCGGTACTTTTTATTAGGCTGTTCAGGGTTAATGCGCTGAGCACTCAAGAAAACCTTAAAGGTCTAATAAAACTCTTGTTCCAGGTATAATTGTGATTATTCGGTATACCAACCCAGTGGACAATGGCCTAATGCCCGACAACGTGTGTGTGATTTACTGCGCCAAAATTCTAATCTGCCGGCGCTGGAAGACAGGTGCTGAAAGAACTTAGTTGCTGAGGTTGATCAGGATGGACTTAAGAAGGCCAAAAATTCTTTCATGCAACTGGATTGTGAGTTTTTTCACTTCTTTTTTTTAATTGTTTTTCACCTTGCTAAGCCAGTTTAAACATCCAAAACACACACAAGCGTCACACAGCATCAAAAGACAGCGGAAACATGCGGCCGAATCACAGAGAACATTTGATCTAAGTTAGCCGAGGCTGGTGTCGTTCCCAGGATGGATGCTGCATTTCCACGTTGAATTTCGATGCTGAACCTCTGGCGCAGATACTCCGTTGCGCGTATCCCGCCCGTTTCCTGCCATATCATCCTGCCTACCTCGCTGAACAGCCGGGAGGCTTCCGGTCTGAGTGGTCCCACTGTCTCCACACCCACCGCACGGAACACCGTTTAAAAAACAAACCCATTTCCTTCCCCCAACCGTCTTCCACTTTCGCATTTACAACTGGTATCAATTAGCCAAAACAAACAGTTGTATCTGTTTTAGAATTCACGCATGGTTCAACGAAGGAAAACATTAAATGAACACACGTATATAGTTGATAGAACGGGATGGTCGATTTAAGCTTAAACTGGCTGGCGTGGAGTGGCTTGAACCGGCAACCGGTGTTTTCCGGAACCATGCAAACCATAGCTACATTTTCGTCGGACTTTTGCAGATTTGTTGGTAAACGTTTTTGGCAGTGGAATATGCGCACCACACGGTTTTCAAATCGTATGATCGCAGTTACTAGTACAATCTCAACCTCCGGCACTCTAGCTGCAGCACATTATGCTTCTGAAATCCTGCTCTGCCAGAATTGTGTACTAAGTGCCGGTTTCTTCTTTCCATCATGTCAGAAAATCGTTTGCATAACGAACACCGCTTCCCGCAGTTGCTGACCAGTTGACGCTTCTCTAAGACAGTGGTGACATGCGCGATGAAAAGTGCGCCGAACGGCCAAATGAAATCCTTTCCAGGTCTTAGTATACAATGTGTCAGATATGACACAGAAGCAGAACGAAAAGTGGGGCAAATATCGCCTTTATTGGGAACAATAAAGCAACCACAAACAAACACAGAAAACCAATGCGGTATCACTGTGGAAAAAGTAGCTGCGAGCGCGCAAGTCAGTAAAATGGTAATGATGCAGCGTGCTGCGGGTACGCAACAGCTGATGCCGTAAAGCATGGGATCGCTCGTAGGCGCTGGGCTACGCCCCCAAGAGTGCGGAAATGCGCTGATTGGTCAGCGTAGACAAAGTATACGCTGAGTGAGCAGCGTAATAGCGCGGCACGAATGGAGTAGCCGTGCGCGAGCGGGCGACAGAGCAAAGCCACAAGAGGTGTCTACCGCCTCGAGTGTGCGGTCTCTGACATGCCTCTGGGCGGGAGTGGGAGCTCCTGCGAGCACCTTCCGACTCTGCCCCTGGCCAACCCGGTAGGGTGCCAGGATCCGATACCCGGTAGGGCCGGATGCCACTTTGTCTCTAAACCCGGTAGGGTCGGTTGCTCCAGACCCGCGGTGCAGTGCACCGAACGGCCGAAATCTGGAGTGCACTCTGGTTGCAGGGGGTTCCAGTGTGGTTTGAAGGCTTGGTTGGTCGACCAGGTAAAAAATAAAGTTTATAAGGCTCATTGGTTAAACATCGAAATAGAAAAATCACAATTTCGGTGAGAATTTAAGAAAGTAAGATCATAGTTAGAGATCCCAAAGCCAATTCCTTTGGTTATTTGGCTAAATAAAAACATTAATTCTTTGGTTAATAAAGTCTAGAAAAACCAGGTATGGTTAAAAAACTAGACGTAAAATAGCTCATTCCGACTAGGTTTACCACAGGGCCAGGTTCTGTCCACACGGGTCCTAGTCAACGGTCCGCTTGATCCGATAGGATTGGTCTGGTCCTGTAGATCCGGGGCGACGGTTCCCAGAGATGTCCACAGGGGTCCAGTGAAGTAAATCCAGCGGTGCGGTATATGGAAGGCACTATTGCTTTCGCAAGGACAAGTTGTCCCCTTCCTGGTTTAAGTATGGTGGACCAAGCCCGGTTGGGCTGTCCATATAGGGCCAGAGTAATACCTCTGGACAGGAGAGGTGCTCCTGTGACCAAAATAGTATGCTTGGACCAATTCCGTTAGGATGGCCATGCTTTGGTCTGACATGCCTCTGTTGGACCTGACCCGTTAGGGTTGTCCCTGGTGTGGCGGGAGTGGGAGTCCTGTCGGATTCCTTCCCAGTGGCCCAACATTGGTGCTTTGGACCAGTCCCGTTAGGGTGGTGCACATGGGTCTCTAACTTGGACCGGTTTGGCCTTGCATGCCAGTTTGGTCATGCGCCTAGGTCCAAAAATCTTCTAAGTCCAAGAGGGCCATAATGGAAAAATTTTCTAAGTCCCAGGACCGAAGTGGTATAGAGGACCAAACCCGTTAGGGCGGTCCAAACTCGGTCTCTGACATGCTCTGGGCCGGGATACGGGGTTCCATTGTGATGTGGCTCGCCTCCGGCTGGTGTGGGACGTGGGGGTCCTGTATAACAGGTTTTGGCTCTCCGATATGGACTTAGTCGTTTTTTGATGAGCCG